CCCACTCTAACCTCTTTTTTTTTTTTTTTTCCTTCCCCTCCCCCATGGGTTCCTGTTAAGTTTCTCAGGATCCACATAAGAGTGAAACCATACGGTATCTGTCTTTCTCTGTATGGCTTATTTCACTTAGCATCACACTCTCCAGTTCCATCCACGTTGCTACAAAAGGCCATATTTCATTTTTTCTCATTGCCACGTAGTATTCCATTGTGTATATAAACCACAATTTCTTTATCCATTCATCAGTTGATGGACATTTAGGCTCTTTCCATAATTTGGCTATTGTTGAGAGTGCTGCTAAGAACATACTACTTTAATCATCAAACATTATACTTTGTGGTGAAAACTAGAATCATTTACCTTAAAAAATAGATGTTATTAATGTTATACTTACTGTTACCATTAGTTAAACAATAATATAATGATCTTTCTAGCCAATGAAATCAAATGGGAAATAGAAATAAAAGAAAAAGCTGTTAGAAAGGAGACCACCAAATGACTTTTCAATACAGATGATCTCTGTTTATCTAGGAAACTGAAGAGAGTCACCCCCCAAAAATTTAGTATTATAAAGAGTTCATTAAGGAAGCTACAGACAATATAAATATATATTAAAAAATCAATTTTTTATATACTAGAAAAAAGAAAGTAAAATGAAAGGAATGTCAAATCTTTATGAAAGCAATTAACGGGAAATAAAGGGGACTAGATCTCTGAAGAAACCCACAGTATTAAAGTAACAGTAAGTGATTTAACTTTTCTGAGGAATATTACAAAAACTCAAATAAACAAACATATTCCATGTTTAGGCATAGGAAGACTGACCTACTTACTCACAAATTAATTTGGAACAATAAACAGCTAGGAATAGACAAAAAACCTTGGAGAAAGACAGCAAGAGTAATGGAAGAGAGGTAATTAAAATGTAATACAAAGCTAAAGCAATTACAATAGAATCATCTAAAAATAGACACTGTCATAGTGAATGAAAAAAGTTAACATCACATACAAGTAGGGATTAACAGTACATTGGTTTTGTATTTGATGGACTATCTGGAGAAAAATAAAGTTAAACCCTCACTTCATGCTTATATTTAAAAGCTAACAAAGCTAAAGAATCTATTTATGGGGGCGCCTGGGTGGCTCAGTCAGTTAAGCCACTGACTTCGGCTGAGGTCATGATCTCATGGTTTGTGAGTTCAAGCCCCACATCGGGCTCTGTGCTGACAGTTCAGAGCCTGGAGCCTACTTGGATTCTGTGTCTCCCTTCCTCTCGGCCCCGCCCCCGCTTACGCTCTCTTTCTCTCAAAAATGAATAAACATCTAAAACAATTAAAAAAAAAAAAGGCATCTATTTATGTTTTGACTGAATTCTTCAAGAGAAATATCTCTCGTTTCTTAGAAAACTCTGCCCTATTTCCAAGTAACAATGGGAGAAGTCAATTCATAAATCTGACTATATTACTTCTGTATTTAAGTATATGTAACTGATGAAGTATGTTAGGTAAATCTGTAAGGAGAACACCAAAATACTAATAGAAAAATGGGGGAAAGACATGGACAGCCTACCTAAGATGAACTATAAATGACTAGTAAACAACTAGGGGAAAAAATTTACTCTCACAAATCAAAAGAAATAAAAATTAATGGGAGTTAATATTTTTTCTCATTAAATTAGCAAAAAACCCCACACGAGGCACTACCACCATGTTGAAAACCTCTAGAACAACGTTGAATAGGACATCTTTGTCTTGTTTTTGATTGTAGGGAGAAAGGACTCAGCCTGTTCCCGTTAATATTACGTTTCACCTGGTATGATGTTACCAGGC